GTCTACGTTCTCGATTGGTCTCTGTTCTGCTTCCTGCATTCCTTTTAGCTTGGCCCTGCGTACTTATTCTGCACTCGCAGCTGCGATTGTTATGATCCTTCACCCCGACAGTTCAGCTGCCCTTGCTATTTGGAGACATTTCTCTGAGTTTAGATCGGTTTTCTTTCAACCAATTTCTCCTGTAAGTTGGAATCGCATGCTCCACAAATGATCCCGTCTCTAATTAGGAAATCTCTAATGTCTCCAAAGTTACATGTTCTCTGATCTGTACTGTAACTATCTCTTCCCTCTTCTGCTGCTTTGTTTTGGGTAAAATACAGTATTTCTACAGTCTCATTGTGTCTGGGGACATGGTTCTTATCAAACATTTTTATCAGGCCTTCCAATGTTTCAGGCATCAATTTTGGCAACAGCATCTCACTTGCTTCTTGCTCTTTCTCCCCCTCCCCCCAGCTATATGATAGTAAAATAACATTTTCTCAACTTTGTGTCTCTCTCTTCTCCCCCCCCACCCCCCGCATCTGTTCCATATATAAAAACTCAGTTCTTGCTTCCATGCTTGTGCAAAGATTTTTGTCTCAAAATCCAGCATTCCCAGGGGTCTGAGAGTGTTTCCTCTAAAATAAAAATTATATATGATGTCCATGTGCAGAATGAATTTTGTTACATGTGCCAGTATGGAGGTGATGTGTGGCAGGGGTGAGGCTGAAGGGTTTGGAGTGTGGAAGGGGGCTCTGGGCTGGGGGAGAGGGTTGGGGTGCAGTGGGGTGAGGGCTCTGGCTGGGGGTAAAGGCTCTGGGGTGGGGCTGGGGATGAGGGGTTTGGGGTGTGAGGGGGCTCAGGGCTTTGGTTTGGGTCCAGGGGGGTGAGGGCTCTGACTGGGTGTGAGGGCTCTGGGGTGCAGGCTGCCCTGGGGCTGCAGCAGGGAGAGAGGACTCACCCGCCCCCCCCCCCCCATCCCTCTCTCACCACAGCAGCTCGGGGGCCAGGGGAGGGGTGCCTCTTGCCACCTGCATGCCCTTGATAGCCTGCTGCACGGCCGTGTAGCTTAGAGGGAACTTAGGTCTGAGACCCGTCTTGCTTCCCATTTGCTCTGTTTCTGGGTGCTGCTTTGTTTGTATGTTGATCACATTCTCTTCCGGTGGACTGAGTGCCACCACCACCTTGTTTCATGTACCACATGCTGGGAAAAACATTAAAATGCTCTGTTTCTAAAACTAAACTGACTCGTTTTATGAAGAGAATTATTTACAGGGATGATGCAGTTAGCATTCTAGCCATATGTATGCGGACTGGCTTCCTGGTGCTTCTTCCATCCTGCTTCCTCCTGCAGCCTGTCTCCTCCCTCTGAGTTCCATGCAGGTTGCTATAAATGCCATCATTTATTCCCACCATTCTGATCTCTGCCCCAAACACACGTACACCATCTCAAACCTAGACTCATCTCAAAAGGTTGTGTGTGTGGGGGGGGGGAGGACAGAACTTGCAGCATGCCCAGATATGGAATCTCGTTGTACCCTTGCAAATATATCGAATGTGACTATGCCTATTTCTGCAGTACTACTTGGTAATAACCTGCTATCTGGAAATATACACAGGGAATATATTAATCCATGAAGCTAGTCTGAACTTTCACTGCATGGTGTTTACTGTATGTCCAAATCCTATTCCTCGATCCTGTAAGGAGTTGCATACAGGTGCAGGGATCTACTTGCATGAAGCTGCTTGAAGGTTTGGGGTCTTAGTGAAGGTTTCTCTAGAGACTGACATGTCATGTCATTTTGATGAGAGTGGATGAAGATTAGCAGCTTTTAGCTGGTTTTCATCTGCTTAATGTAACTTCCTACTTTCCTCGCCCCGCTTTCAGAGATTAACATGTCACAGATAGTCACATACTAAAAATAACTGTAGCAAGTTGACAAGCAGTTTCTTGTATTTATGAATGAGTTGAGTTGATGCTTTAGTGAGAAAAATAGTCTGTTACATGTACAAAATATTGTTTTGTTTCTGACCTGTGGGGAATATCCATATAACTTCAATCTCATGTCAGTCATCCAGTTCCTCTTGCATGCCGTCCTAGTTATTCATCTTGTTTTGTATTTCTATTATAAACCTTTCTATTAATTCAAGTCTATTAGGAAAACAAGTCAACAAGAAATTCAGTATGTTTTCTTTTCTGAATACAGATCATCTGCAGATGTCCACAGTTAAAATGAGCATAGTTCCAGCCTAAGGTCCCTTAGTTGCTTCAAATATGAGTATACCTGATTAGTTAGTCAGCGTAACTAGCCAACAACCCCAGCTCTAATTGTTATACTAACAGTTTCCAATGCATTCTTTACAGCAAGTGGACTCAGATTAGAGTTTATTGTGCCTCCTGGAACAGCATTTTGATAGAATCCATTGAAATAAACTAGGAGCATTTCAAAGAGGTCCAATTTTAAATTGTGGCTTGATATTATAATAACGTGATTTGTGTTGGCTAATTACAAGAAGGATTTTTTGTAATTTAAGTTTCCACACTGGCTGTGGCTGTAAGTCACAGGGTAATTAAGATCGTTAAAATAATATTTCAAGAAATTGATATTTCCATTCCAGGGACAATCTTGTGAAATGAATCAACAAATTTAAAGTATAATTATGTTCTTATTGCAGCTGAGCGTGTATGCTCTTTCTGGCAATGTGGTGTGGTTCAAATGTGAAGTCCCTTAAACAGCAGTTGATTTTTACAACAATTCAATTGAAAAGGTCTATTAATTGCTATCACTTCAACCGGAAACAAATACTACTTCAACTGGAAGGGTGTGAATGACTCTCCCTCATCCCCCTCCCACACCTCTCTTCCAGAACTTCTGCATAGAAAGCATAGGTGCAACTAACCATTGATTAAGTCATTTGGGAGGGGCTGGAAGAGACAGCAAAATGGCTGTTGGTTTTCCAGAGCAAATTAAAAATTTGTTCATGAAACAGTCCTACATTTTAAAAACTTTCCAGTTCATTTAATATGCCTCAGACTAGACTAAAAACCATTCCAGGACTTAGATGATGATGATATACAAAGTCACCAAAATTCTTTGCAAAGTAAAAGCAAATACATTAAAACCTTAATAAATTAATGGAACAGAGCCTAAAGAAGGGAAGGAACATTCATGTCCATTTTAGCTACACATACATCCACTGTGGCTCTCACGGGTCTGTGAATGTGAAGTTGGGGTGGTCCTTAACATTCCCTGAGGGGTCACATCCCTACCCCTACCCCTTCACCTCAGGCCGCCCACATGGAATGTTGAGGGGAAGGCTACAGGGAGGTGCTGTACTGGAGTTTGTAAGTCAATAAAACTATTGCATGAAAAATAATTCAATCTGTTTTAGTTCCCAACGGTGTAATGCCTGGTGGCAGCAAAAGCACCCACTTATTTGATATTGTACTCTGTGACGCAGCTCATAGGATCAGTGACAACGGTGTAATAATCATAAAGGTACAGCAAGCACCACAAAATTAATAGGTTGTCAGTGTTTATATTCATGTGCACCAAGCACCATACAGTTCCTTACAGTTCCAACCTACAGGGCCAGGTAAAGCACAGTACACCACAATTGCTGTGGCTCGCTGTTAAAGTGCTCTTTGTAAAGGTTCCCTGAGCCATATAGCTCCGCACTGAGCTCTTCTGATAGATCTTGTGTCTGGTGTTCAAACTTCGCGGACAGCTGCTCCACTTCAGTGGCAGCTTTGCCACCGTTCTTCACAAATTGTTGTTATTCAGGACACAGCAAGCAGCTCCAACTGTTGGGATATTTTTGTCACTGAGACCCAGTCTGGTGCATAAACCATGCCAGTGACCCTTCAGTCTACCAAAACCACCTTCAACTGTCATTCTGCCCCAAGCTAGCTGCTGAATTTTCCCTTGGTGCTGTTGGGAGGGGGGGGGGGGCTCATCAGCTTAATGAGCCAGGGGAGTAAGGGTTAGGTTGGGTGCCCCAGGGTCACTATTGGCATATCAACATCACCAATTGTAGTCTGCCTATCAGGAAAACAATCCCTGCTTGCAGCTCTCTGACCAGTCCTGTGTTCTTACACCTTCCCTGGCCAGCCAACACTGATGTTGGTGAAGTGTCCCTGGTGATCCACCAGTGTTTGCATAACTGTAGAAAAGTAGCCCTTTCTGTTGAGATAATCTCTGGCAAGGTGGCATGGTGCCAAAATAGGGATCTATGTATATGCCATCTCTTGCTCTGCTGCAATTCAGGATCCCCATTGCTGAAAATCCATCCATTATGTTCTGTACATTGCTAAGAGTCACTGGCCCTGCACACTGGCATGGCAATGGCCCTCACAGGAGATTTTTTTTGTTTTGTTTTGTTTTCCCAACTTCAAAATGATTTCCCACTGACTGGCAGCAATCTGGTGTCGCAAGTTTTCACAGTGTGATCACCACTCGCTTCTCCACTGGCAGTGCAGCTTTCCTTCTGGTGTCCCTGTGCTGGAAGGTTGGAGTGAGCTCAGCACACAGATTCAGGAATGTGTCCTGGTACCTCTAAAAATTCCGCACCCCACGCCTGCATTACGATGCAATCCAATCAGTTCTCCTTTCTTAGTCCCAGAACTGTTTCCCCATTTGCAGCTGCTCCGTGAACACCATCAACAATCTTGAATTGGTTCTTGCTACATCCCACAGCAATTTGCACTCCAGGAAATCCTGTTCCCCGTAGCTTTTCTTGTAGCTCTGCAAATACCAGAGGATCACGTGTCCTGTGCTTACAACACTCATGACAATAGTGCAGAGCTATGCAGGCTCCATACTTCTGTCAGAGATAGCAGAGAGCAACAAGTCCCATGTGGGTTTGTGGGGTTTTTCAAAACAGGCATGAAAATTATGGCATTATGGGGCGGCACTAGAGGTGGCATTATGTGATAGAGAAAACTGCATGATTGGAACTTGAGCCCACAGTCCCACTCACCCTTTCTGACTCATTTCTGTCTCACCATACATTGCCAACAGACAGTGTGCTGGATGGTGGGGAATTGCACGCTGGGATACCTACCCATGGAGTACCACACTGTGCATCAAAACAAGTATTCCTGGTGAGTATGCACAGCGCTGATGTAAGGAGCCAAGTATGAACGCGTACTAATGAAGGCAGCTGTATGTTGCCACAACTTGCTTCGGCAAAAGTTTGTAGTATAGACATGCCCTTGGGCTCTGAAATTCTAACTAGATTTTTTTCCAGAAGCATCTCACCATGAATCAACTGTTTACACAAGCTCCCTTGTCACTGAATGCTTCATCAATAAGGTGCAATATATCTAAAAACCTGTGCAGATGCTCTTGTTCCATGCACCTGCAGCGCTGTGATTTTTTTTTTAAACTCCTGCAGACAAGAAAATGAATGACTTGGTTGACTGATCACAGAATGCATTACAGCTGAAACTTTCATTGTCTTCTAAGGCACAAGTTTCTCACTGTGCATTAAACAGTGCACAAAAAGTTCAAGGGCTGGTTCCTGACAATCATAGGTTGTTCTCCATTATTCAAGGTTTGCACCCCAAGCACAGCCTCTTTCAAGACTTTTCCCTCAAGCACAGTTCACTTTAAGTTTAAAGGAAACTAGGGTTACCATATTTCAGCAAGCAAAAAAGAGGATGGGAGGAGCCCCGCACTAGCCCTGCCCCTGTCCTGCCCTAGCCCTGCCCTGCCCCTCCCACTCCCTGCCCCCTTCAGATCCCCCAACCCTCCCCCCGCTCCTTGTCCCCTGACTGCCCCCTCCTGGGACCCCTGCCCCTAACTACCCCCCAGGACTCCACCCCCTACCTAAGCCTCCCTGCCTCTTGTCCCCTGACTGCCCTCTCCTGAGACCCTCCCCCATCCTAACTGGCCCCCTAGGACTCCACCCCCTACCTGTACCCTGACTGCCCCAACCCTTATCCATACCCCCGCCCCCAGTCAGACCCTGGGACTCCCACGCCCCATCCAACCACTCCCCACCCCCTAACAGCCCCCCCAGAAATCCCGACCCATCTAAACCCCTCTGCTCCCTGTCCCCTGACTGCCCCCTCCTGGGACCCCTGCCCCTAACTACCCCCCAGGACTCCACCCCCCACCTAACCCTCCCTGCCTCCTGCCCCCTCACTGC